CTGATTCTGATTCTGATTCTGAGCTCAACAGGGACTGCAAGTCACTAAACAATCACTGAACTTATTGTCTCTATACTGTAGATATTTGATCCTCTTGTTACCTTCCTTTAAAATATAGTGTAAGGCTTTAGTGAACTTATTTTCCATAAAATCACTCTTCCATACTGTCATACAGTATTCATATGGTAACAGATATAAGATATTATTAACATTTACTGTGTGTATAAGCTACTGTACAACAGCAATAACATATACATGTGACTCTTTGTTTTAAACTAATTTGATGTCATTATGAGAACAATGTTTTGCTGGGAATATTAGAACCATATTTTGTTTTTGTCACAAAGCCCTATATACATAAAGACTAGAAATCACAGTAGTTTCAGTCACTGAAAAACAGATTTAGAATTACTTATCTAAGACTAACATTCATGAACCACATAAATGAATTGGCTTATGTCATCAGTTAAATGCTGACTACACTAAACTTGCTCTTGTTCCGCTCTTTACTTGGACACAAATCAGATGGTCTTGAGTGTAGTACAGTGTCATAAATAAGCTTTTACCCTTAAGAACACTAGTTTTAAAGTGGTAAACTTGACGACTTATCAACAGAGTGGTTTGATTGGCTCACAAATATGACTCAGCAAAAGGTGCTGAATAGAGCTGTGGTGAGTTGTGCACTGTGCAGATGTAAGCTACAACCTACTGATACCGTAACATGAACTTTTATCACATGGCACTACATTAGTATTCCAAAATATGGTCACTGAATTTGTAATTTCAAGTGCTGTGTGCCTTAATATCAGTAAAATAAACCTATTTAAAGAGTCTGGTATGTATGGTGACCTTTTCATATTTTAAATTATCTCAACTGATAAAAAAATAAAAATTTTATATATATTTTTGTCCTCATATCATTAGCAATGCATGGTACTTTATGTTGTACTCATGAGAGCTTATTATGGTATCACGAATATAATAATGTATGTTAAATAGTCCCATATCCATATCCATATGCTCGCCACAAAGTGCTGAGTACTTCTCAGCCAATTCTGTACTGCCCTCAATCTAGAGGCCCTAACATGAGAAACAAATTCAAAGTGACGAGTCACCCTTTTCACATTTGCTACTGTGTTCACCTGCACGGACACAATACAAACAAACATTGCAGCATACACAGAAAAATCCAGCGCTAGAAACTTAAAAACACAACGGTGGCTAGCATCACAGTTTACAACCACCACACAAGGCATAACCACTGCCCTTCTAAGCTGTTTACACCACAAGTGTTTTCTGCGAACCGTGGAGCCATGTAGAACTAACAACCCACTCATTTATCAGTTCCCATCTGGAGGAAATTCCTGTCATCTGAGGAGGATTTTCAGTTTGTTTAGAAGATTTTTTTGAGTCTCCACTTCCAAACCCAACAGGTTAAAGTTTGTCCGTTATTATGGTGCCTGTGATGAAGGAGGCAAATCAACAGTAGACAAATATAACATAGTATTTAGACCTAGGCACTTAGTCCACAAGGCATCACCGTCATTCACAAGGAAAAACAACTGACAGCAAAATATAAAACATAATTTTAGAATTACATAGCAAGTTGTCTATTTTTTTTTAAGCTGCATAATGACTTCTAAGTTATCACACATGCCTTGCTTTGAGCATGCCTTGGTCCACTGTGACAAGAGATAACTGTATGCTTCTTTTGGTGTTTTTTTAGTATAGCTATGGAGTTATTTACACTGTAATTAAATAATCCCTATGTAAGTTTACTCACAGTCATGGGTTTAGCTTCTATAATGCTACACTATATAACCTGTTTTTCCACTCCACATTACTGTCCCTATGAGCACAGATTTGGCCTACAGACAAAGGATGTGGGGTGCTGTGTTGCCGTAGAAACTGTTTCTTCTGGATTGTGCCTGCATCCATCTGCCTCAGCAGGTTCCCATGGTGCTGACTGTAGTGTAGCTGAACTTGGACATGGACGCTCCTGTTGCCATAACGTCCTCCTCGTTGTCCCGTAGCCCACGGCGACGACGGCGGTGGCAAGGTGCGGCACAGCACGAGAACGTGGCAAGCAGAGCTTTTCGGAAACGGGTGTTCATGAAGCAGTAAATAATTGGGTTGACGCAGGCGGACGTGTAGCACAACAAATGGATAAAAGCGATGGGTGCACCTGAGAGAGCATGTTTTGCAGAGAGGTCATCGAAAGCCCGCCAGGTGTTGGCACAATACAGTGGCATCCAGCAGAGAAAGAACAGGACAACAATGACTACCAGCATGCGGATAACTCGCTTCTTGGCCTCCAGCTTGGCCTCGGACGTGTTGCTGCGTGGTCTTTCTGCCTTGACTGCCCTGCTCGATGCAGCCATGGTGGACATCTCCATCGTGTGTGTCCGCTGGACGACATTAACATAGCAACCATCTCCATCGTCACTACCAGCAGACACAGTGGAGGTCAGTCCATTCTTCACATCTGTATGAGAGAGCAGAGTAAACAAGTATTTCTATGAATTAAATATAACAAAAGTACATACTTTAGTATTGTATTTAAAACGTAATCCCCTAATATGTGAGTGATGTGTCAATTTTGCAACACTTATGCTTTTGCTTTACCTTGTAGATATTGTTAAGGGCCAAATATACACCCCATGCTCCATACCATACTATCAATACTAAGTCTTCTTTCAAGCATCGGTACTGCTTCTGTGCCTGCCTGACTTTTTGGCTCCATTGTTTTAGTCCCTTCTTGTAGAGTATTTTTCATATATTTGACTAATATTTCTGCCACTAAACAATATTTGACCAGGGAAGCTGTGTGCTGTGCCACATCCAGTTAATTTCAAGAACTCTTAAGTTAACAAATAAGCCAAAAAAAAACCCACAGCTCTGTGATAACACATGCACCCATTTATGAGTTTTTTTTTGAGTGAATCATAGCTCTTAAAGAGCAGCAGCTCACCTTAATGGAAATAAGAGTGACTAGCAATTCTTGCTGAGCCACAGTGATCATCCATCAGGGGATATTGCAATTTATTGATAAAAATCTAATCGTCCAGTTTTGCTTCTACAAAGGATAAAGTACACTGAGTATAGTAATAAGAGCCATATGCCAAGCAAATACAAACAGGAACTGTAGAGAGAGTTTAGCCAATTTGCTAAGCCACTCCTGGTTTATTAAATCAAACACATTTTCCAAGAGGCTATTTTAGAAGTTCATTATACTTTTTCCCCTGATTTCCTGTTTGTTTATTTTTTCACCTCGTGCTCTTTGTCTCTCAAGCTCTTTTTTTTTGACAACCTTTTTCTCTCTGAGACCAAACAGATGGTGAAGTCCAGGCCCGCAGCTGCCAGCCAATCCATCCTCTAATGGAGCACCAGCAAACACAGTCCATGCTGCTATCATCCCAGACACACTCTCATATGCCCACAAAAGGTTATGTTACACTTAACCTGCACACATTACAATGATTGTAGTGCTAATGAAATCGTTGTCATTAAAAAGAAATTGCTCATTATTCACATAAATCATGTAAAAGAAATGGAAATGCTAACATTTCCAGCCTGGTGCTCAATAGTGCAATTGCAATCAAAACATCATTAAAGTCAAATATGGAATACTGCTTGATAAGACACATTTATATATTTACAATATGTCCAAACTATAATATAAATATACTACTGTGCTGAAACAGTCATAAATTGTCAATGCTGTGTTTAAAAATCTCCTTCTCTGCCCTCTGGGAACTTATGGCCTTTGAGGTCAATAGAAAGCTTTTGAATCAGAGTTTTGTGGCCAGTGATCTGGTACAAGAGGTAACTGTATTATCGCCAATGACAGAAACAGGATTAACAAGTTTATTTAAAGGTTCAGTGTGTATGATTTAGTGGCATCTAGCAGTGTAGTTGCAAAATGTAAGCATCCATATCTATAGCCAGGGTTTGGTTTGTCCCTTCTGGGCTACTGTAGAAAGATGGCGGTTCAACATATGGACAGTAGATAAAAAAACATTCAAGGTAACAAGAACATAACGATTCTTATTTTCAGGTGATTATACACTAATGAAAACATACCTATGCATATTATATTCCACTTCTGCCATTAGATCCACCTTTCCTTGATTCCTAACCTTTTTTAAAGGCTTCATTTCATATTTATTGTCTATTTCCAGGTCCATAACTTTATTAGTGTAATAAACAATAATAATTGAATCAACTATGTACTGTAGTACCATCCTCATTCATTATGTTTAATAGTTCAAGTATTATTTTCCTAAATTCTTTCATCCATCCCCATCCCTTCTCTCCTCTGAGGTAGGGTTATTAGGTGAAATACACATCATATGTTGACCTACAACTTTACTAGAAAAAGTTTAACCATCTGGAATCTGATGTGCAGGTTGGGTCATCTCAATTTGAAAAACCAATACCTACTGGGAAGAATTGTAAAGTCACTATTAAGATTCATTTTCTTCAATCAGAAAAGTTTTACCCGAGGTGGCACCACCAGATACATATATGAGGTATATTACATTAGCTATTGGCTTTTTAAACAAAATGTAATTTGGCCTAAAACTAGCTGTAGATGGGAGTGAGTGGTACTATCATATTCTTTCTGCTCTCTCTAGGTGGTTTTGGTAACAGTGTATGTTTCTATATACTTATTGCTGTACTTTTGTGTACTTTAATATTCTCTGCTGCCTGTGAGCCAAATTGCCCTCTGGGACTTCAATTAAAGCTTACTACTAGTATCTTTGTCACATGTAGTGATCATGGCCTCACCAGTAGAGTCTTTTTTCTGGCCCATCTCAAAGTGAATGCCTCTATAAAGTTCCCTGGAGATAAGTCCATAGGCCACAATCATCACCAACCCTGGGATTGCAAACAGCACAAGCAGTAGCAGAATGTACCTAAAAGAGACACATGAGAGAGGTTAAGATCCTGATGTCCATGCATGTAGATAATGGTGCATCCAGGCACTCATGTAGTCCCAGTTTGTACCTCTCATATATTAATATATTACCATTACCTGGACCTGAACCTGATCTTTGAAAAACCCAGAATGTCGTCCAGCAAAATGCACTGTTGTCCGGAGAATATTTTCCAGAATTCTCAACGACTCTTCCAACTATCTACATTAAATAAGATCCCATCCACTGTGTGATAAATATTCAACTCTGTTCCCAAGATGCAGTTCCTTCCTAATCCAAACAAAAATGTTAGCATTATGTCCTTGCTCAGTTTGTGCAATGTGAATCAAAATTACAACAGTGTACATCAGTTTGATCTATACTAATGTGACGGTTTCATATCATCATACAAACATTTTTATATTTTTAGTGTGTTGTATAAAAAGATAACTTCTTGTGTCCTTGATGGGAAATAAGGTTGTAACTTGGCTTAGGGGTTATGACACCAACCGTGACCTGGATTGAGACCTTTATTGTTGCTCTCTCTCCACCATGGTGTTTTATTAAAGGTAAAAATAACCACATATATAGCATTCTTTCATCCAAATGGTAAGTCTTTAGGGGCTCTGGAAATATCAGCTGTAAATGTTGAGAAATTACCCTTTGGAGTTTTTCAAAGATCGCAGGTGATTAAAAAGAACAATGCTTTGCTCTATGAATCTTATGGTCAAATAGTGATACAAAGTGGGTCTAGTAGCCATGCACAAATTTATTCACCCATAAGCAAGCCTAAAGTCAGATAAGGACATATAATCAAACACAAAAGAAAAAACACACACAAATACAAAAACATAATTTTCAACTGTGCACAAATTCACACAGAAAAACACAGAGTTGAATGAAATTAGCCCAAAGCCTGTTCCATCCTAAATCCAAACCTCCGTATGTTACTACAAAAACTACAAAATAAAAAACCTAAGAAGACTCAAAAACCCTAACACCGTCTGGTCTCTTTATCTACCCTAATGTTTCCACAAAAACACGCACCATAAAGTGAGAGCTGCTAAAAACAGGCTCTACGTCCAAACATGGAAGTAAATGAGATGTTTCAATGTAGCGTGCCTTGAAAGTACACACACACACCTCAAACACAGTTCATCTAAAGTTTATTTAATGCAACACAGCACATTGTCCAGACGGCAAGCAGTGGGAGACTGGGAAAAAGATGGATGATTTGACTGCAGGTTTTATGATGAGTGGAATTTTGTGTGCTGCAGTAGGCTGGGTTACAATGAAATTTTACAACACTGTTTTTTATTATCTTCCCCATGAACAAAACCACCAATTGCCCAATTTATATGTGAATCTGTCTGGATTACCTGTCCCTGCTGGAATAAAACCCATTTGTAATTACAACAAGATAAGTCCGTTTACCATTATAACAGGAAACACACATAATAACAAGAAATGGATCCAATTAAAGCCTAAGGAGAGGACATTGTGGTGTATAGGCACTGAAGAAACTGTGCGTGTATGTGTGCGCTCACTAATCTCTGTTTGTTCTTTTATTGATTGTGTCCTTTATAATCTGTCAATGAGATGTACTGAGCAGTGAATGGTTTTATAGGACCACGGTGGCTGTGAGTAATGTGATGACTGTTCAGGATTTTGTTGCTAAGGTTCACAATCATTCATAAATATAAAGAGAATTCCATTTCTGACTGACATTTCATGCAATGTGAGTAATTCAACGTTAAAATTACCTTGAATTGGGTTGCTGATACAAAAAAAAAATTTTTTAGTGCTCAGTTAAATCAACAGTTTTTCCTGAGAGTGAAAATAACCATCAATGTGTACAATTACTGACCACGTACCTTCATCTGGGAAGATGATGTAAGTGTAAGTGTTTCTATCATGCAGCCCTCCATGTACTTCCAGTGGATCAATAACAAATGATGCTACCTGAGACTGTTTAATATGCAACATAGCATGGAAGAAACTCTATTGTCTGAAATAAAGGCAAATTCATTTAAAAACCATTTAAAACCCAAACACTCACCAGGCCTGCTCTGCCGTTGCGAGGGGCCACTTGTGGCGACACTGGTGAGCAGTGGTGTTGTCGGGACGCTGAAAAGACTCCAAGTGACTGATGATTGGATAGGGGATCATGATGATGAAGGCCAGCACCCATGTAGCAGCAATCACCCGATAGGCATGGGACCTGGTCTGCCATACCCGTGACTTCAGGGGGTTACAGATAGCGCTGTAGCGCTCAATTGCTATGGCAACTAGGCTAAAAGTTGAGATGCTCACTGATATGCCTGCCGGAAAACAAAACAGATTATTTAAAAAGTAAGCAAACATGCATGCTACTGTCTGTACTAAAATATCTTGTCTTTTAATGAATGAAAAGTAATTACCGCTTTGTGCTCAGAATAGAGTTTGGAGTAATACAAAGCAACAAAAACATGTTTGTTGATGTGTACGTAATATCTGCAATAATAACAGAGAACAAAATGTGGTCCTCTGTAGAGATGCGCTTGCAAATGAATATAGTGTGAGGCGGAAGGTGGGGATGGTTATCTGTGTCCTAGAAGAAATCATGTTGGGCTAGGCCACTGATGTGATCTGCCGTCTCCCTTCTGACAGACCAAGACGGGAAATTACTCTTTACCTCTCTTATTCATGTCCTCAGCCAGAATACAAACTGTGTGTGTGCCTGTGTGAGTCAGGACCCAGGGATGCACTGTCGTCTGTATCTAGGAGGGCAGCTTTTTGAGCAGATCCCACTGAAGCACAGAACAATCAGCCAACAGTCTCTCCCCTGGGTTCATCCACTTTCCCTCAGCGCACTGTAATGAAGGCTCTCCATTCAGAGGCCATGTGCTTAATCCACCTTTTCAATTTCTCAGATGTTTTTTCTTCCAACCTAAGCACGATGTTCCTGTTCTTGTTAATTTTATTTATCTCTTTCACATCACAATCATTTTGTTGTTATTCTCTCTGTCACTAATTTTGTTTATCTTTAATCTAGTATTTATTCTACAATAACATTCTCTTTATTTTCTTTGTGTGCTGCAAAAGTCAATAACTAAGGTCATTCACTTACTCAAATATAGTAAGAACAATTGAGAAGTTTTTGTACTTTACTTTCCATTGAATGCTACTTCATACTACATACTCCACTAAATACATAAATATTGACAGCTACACCATATATTTTATTGAATTTCTGCCAATAGATCCACCTAAATGTTACACACTAGACTAGACATCAGCAACTGTGGCGACAGTTTGCAGACCCATAACACATATTAGTTACATTACTTGCTGTGTCTTTGTTTGCACTGTATCATGGCATAGTATTGGATTTAATTTTGGATGCAGGAATTTTACATGCAAGTAAGTATTTTTAGGTTAAAGGACTACACTTTTATTAAAATAAATAGTTTTGGATCAGATGCTTATTTGCTTTACTGCCAATAGTTAGATGATGATCCGTAACTCTGATGTCTGTAAATATGAATCTATGGACAGCAGCAGATTAGCTTAGCATAAACACTGGAAACAGGAGGGAAATGCTAGCCTCATGCTCCAGGAAATCAAGCACATTACCCACCATTAAACCACAGTGTTTCCTTTACACTCTTTCTATGGATTAAACAGGCTGAATTTCATATGTAAATTAATAAAGCATAGCGTTAGTTCAGGCAGAGCACTGAAGTCACATTTGCAAATGGGGTAGATGAGGCTGTGGTCTGCTGATGTGATACTGTTCAATGGTAATATATGATTGCTGCTTGTTTCCACTTGTTTTTGCAGATCAGGTTCACAGTTAAAATAAATCAATACAGGAGCTGCATCTGAATGGTTTAGTTCAGTAAAATAATGGGCTGCAAAGTTTTACAGGCTAAGCGTGTAGCCCCCTTTCCATTTTATATTGGATGCCAGTCAATCACTTCTCAAAGCAAAGATAATCAAACTGAAATGTAATTTTTCTTTTTTTTTCTATTTAAATTAAAATTAGGTGCTGCTTCGAACAAATTCATTAAAATTATCAGAGAAAACTGTTGGTTGTTTGTTGACGGTAGCTCTCTTCCTTTCAACCTGTTAAAGAAGAGAAATGAAATCTGAAGGATTTGCCAAGGACCTACCATTGCAAGTGTAATACAATTGATCAAGGCACCATTTTTAGAGAGAGATCAATATTTCGATCACATTTTTTTCTGGTATCAATTTATTTGTTATGGCTGTGGTCGACGCCCACCCCTTGCAGTTAACTCTGCTTAGTCAAAACAAAGTGATTATCACACTGACTTAGTTGCAATATGTCAATATACACTAGGGTATGGGTGCTGTCTTTTATTTTGGTAAGTACTCGTAGCTAGTGAGGCTTTTATCTCAATTCTTGAGTCCTCTTTTGGTTTTATTTATTTCTTTGATTTGAACAAGACCCATTCCTTTGTAGTTTTGCCTCACCTGTTTCCTTTTGTATAAGATCTCTAATTTCCTTAAAATAAATAACTAACCATTAAAATCTGGTTATGTTGCTTCCCTATCCCCTTATTCAAGCTGGGTTGTAACAGTACTTAAGCAGGTATTTCTGTATATTGACCTTAATCCTGAACTTAATTAAATATAAACATTTTCCAACAAAATATTCCAAACCTGTCTTTCCATATTTTGACTGAAATTCCCATCGGCAGACGTACTTCTAACCCTAACCCCAAAGCATTGAAGTATGGCTGAGCCGCCTAAAATTCAGTTAGATCAGATATAAATGGAGTTGGCCACAGAAAACATTTATGCTGTAGGGCAAAGGTTACAGGAAAAAGATTATCCCTTACATTGTACAGATGGCTGTATAGCCGTGCTTATAAAATGCTTTTTATATCAGTCCTTACCACATAGCACTAAATCCTTAAATCCTATCATATAAAGATTATAATGAAACAGTTATTTATCAGATACATATCGTCTTCGGACAGCTTAGTTGACCAACAATGTAATCGGCATCAACATCAGATATTTGTTTGACCCAGTAACACCAAAAACACAGATGGATTTCACTGGTCTAAATTCTCTGTCTGTAAATCACTGGATTACCTTGAACATAATTTGATTCATATACTGAAATCACTGTGATATAGTAACTGTACTAAAAGACTTCAATAAATGAATGAGTAAGAAGATCATTAAATGGGAAAATGATAATTATCCTGCATCCAGACACTAATAAAAGCTAATATAGTGTTTGAGGGAGCAATTGTTTTTAGGAGAATTGTTTTAAACTGAGCTCTTAGTGATTTAAAAAAAAACTTTTTTTAATGTGACTTTGTTCACTTCAATTCTTATTCTGTATATCTTCTGGGCAACAGATGCTCCGAACAAGGTATTTGACTAATCATATGAATTTGGCAGCATGGAAAGTGTGTCCAGAGCTGTGTCCAAATCCCTCACTATATTTGGTACCTTGTGCTTGCCCTCCACATGCTCTTTCTATTTCCTGCAAAAACTCAAATTCCAGCAATCAAGCAAAAAGAAAGTAGTGTCTGTATGTATCTGAAATATCAATTTACTGCTCAATAGTAAACTATAGATTGTATGTTACAGTAATAGTGAATAAGGGAACAAGGAAGGGATTGTGGACATCAGTATATATTATAATGGCAATGGCAATTTTTTATCTTGCCTTCTCATCACTAATCAACCCCTGCTTTGCCCTGTCTCTCACCCATGAGGTAGGACACTATCTTGCACATGGCAGCACCAAAGATGAAGTCCTTGAGGATGCTGGGGATGAGGGTGAAGGGCATGCAGAAGACGGCCATCATCAGGTCACTGACAGCGAGTGACAGCAGGAAGGTGTTGGTCACGGTGCGCATGCGTTTATTGACGGTCAGCACCACAATGATCAGCAGGTTGCCAATTACACTCAGGAAGAAGATGAGTGAGTAGAGCAGGATCCGCAGTGTGTGGTCCCCATCTAGCAAAGAAAAAGAACCGACACGGAACCAACTCATCAGTTGTGTTTTACATGATGATCAATACGTTCACACTGTCTTCATTGATCCCAACAGGCTCAAGCTGGTAGTGCTGTATATAACTATTTCTCATAGCTGCTTATTTTCTTCTGTGTTTGTGTGTTAAGTACACAGGCTGTACCTGCACCTGTTGATGAACAGTCTCTAAAAACAAAACTCCACCATATCACATTCCCTGAGCCAGTTTGTGACACTGTTGTACAGTAGCTCAGTATTCTTTCTGAAAATAATGCAATGCTAGACTTTGACTTCCATAATCTCTTGTGTTACAGTAATAAAATGTCAGTTGCATCAGCTGTTTTACTGTTTATTATGAGTGGGCAGGTAAATAAACCCACACAATGCCGAAAAGAAGGACTGAGGTTTGAAACTGACGTTCCTAATTTTATTGTCAGTTGACATTTTCTCGTGTTGATGGTGGTATGTCCACCTGGTGGGTCCTATAGGTAACACACAGTCTGTGGCCTTTAGTCTGACAGTTGATGATCACTAGGTGACCCAGAAAAGTACCTGGACTCTCAAGTACTACAGTATACTGTCTCCAGGGGTTTTAGCATACTTAATATGGATGTGTTATATTTTTTTATTTAATTCACTATTGCCTGTGATAGCTGCATCTAAATAACTAAATACACTTGGAGAACATCTGTATAGGACACAGGGACTGAAATAAAATTTAAAGTAAAAAGTAAAACCCAGGCTGTACAAATATTTACATTATAAGTCCGTACACAAATACACAAAAAAATATAATAATAAGGAACAAAGAAACTTGAGTACAAGCAACGTTGCAAGTTGCAAAGCCACTAAAGTCACTATGTGTTAACGCAATATTATATATATACATAGAAACAAAAGTTCATATTTTAACAGCGATAACCCCATCTCACTTTAATTATACATTTGTATGCATGTAGTTCAATTCAATTCAATTTTATTTGTATTGCACATAATCATAACATAAGTTATTATTTTTTCATAGAGCATATATGATAACAACAATAACAATATAAAACTCTCTAAAAGGGACCATCCTGCTAAACCAATGAAAAGAGGAGATAGAAACACTACTGTGTCTACAGGGGCCGCCAGAATCAACAAAAAATAAAAACAATTCCTTGTTGCTGCTTTAAGTAAAAAAATATGAGTGCTTTTAGCTGGTACACAGGCAGCCCACCACAACCAATTACTATTAATTAGATCCATTTTTTTCAGTCCTTCAGAGCCACTTGTAGCAGTTTCTCTGCTGTGTACAAAATTTGGGTACTATATATATATATAGTATATATTTTCCACCTTCAACGTTGAGCCCTTCACACAAAGTACAAAATACTGTACCCTGCAGCCCAAAGCGTGTCTGTGCCCTCAGCCATCAGCAGCTTCACTGGATCATGCCCTTTAAAGTCCATGTCCTCTGCTTTCTCTGTTATCTTCACCCTACCCACTGCTTAGACACAACACTTTTTAACGGGTTACCTACTGTGTCTGTATCCGGAGGATTAGAAGCACCCATGTGCACCACATCCACAGGACACAAATCACATCACACAAATAAGCTCAGACTCCATTGACACAGTAGAAGCATGTGCAACCAAACACACTCAAGCCTTAATCCCCTGAAAATACACCACCAACAGTTCCTTGAACGCACTGGTAAATTAGGTTATTTTCGTAGTGTATTATAATCTTCAGGTGTCTTTAGCTTTTTCCATCTCACGAGTCTTCTGGATTTTTGCCCTCTTTGCTTTATTTCTCTGTCTGTTTCCTTTCATCTCACTGTCCATTAAAAATAGAAAGCTTTAAAAAAAAAAAAAAACAGCAACATAGCAGCAAAGCCAGCCACAGAGACTCAAATTTTTATCATGTAAAAAATCTGTCATTGAGTCATGTTTTCTAGCTGGTCAATGTTCAATGTGTAACATTTAGAAAGATCTATTGTCAGAAATTAAATAGAAGATTCATAACTATGTTTTCATTAGTGTATAATGAGCTGAAAAGTGAGTCCGCCATGTTAAACTTCTATGTTTCTACAGTAGCCCAGAATGGACAAACCAAGCACTGGCTGTAGATAGGGCCTTTTGTGTTTTTCACAAGTTTTTCTGCTATCGTAGTTTCTCGTACACACTGCACAGCTCATCTTCATTTCCAGGTTACCACATATACGCGAGCAGTGTTTAGTTAGTTGCAATCTGAAACTTCACCAGTAGATGTCACTAAATCCTACACACTGGTCCTTTGAGCTTATTCTATAAGCGATCACACCTCACTGAATCTCAGCATCACAAATGGTATTAAAAACACGAAACATAACACCTATAATTCCCTTGGCCTGTGTCACATCTGTTCAAAGCTATCCTGAATGTCACTCATATTGATTTACAGTAATCCACCTGGGATGTAAAGGAATTGTGCACCACTCTGTTTATCAAAAAGCAGCATTAAGTTCAGGTCGAGGTGTAAAAATCTAAACATTACTGCACAAGCACTGGTATGAAGTTAAATTAAAACATCAAAGATGGGATTTGGCAAATCCATATGTGCAGATTTGTGCTTCACACATGAAAGTAGGATAATGGCATGCCACTTAATCTATTTAATTATCTTGTATCCACCCAACCACAATGTTTATGTATAAATTGCAGGCTCTGAATTTAGGCTCTGCTTGCTCTGCAAAAGTCAATAAATGAGTCTGTCTTCCTCTGTCTTGCTCTCATCTCTCTCCTTAAGAAATACACACACACACACACTTCCCATCTAATGACACAAGGCTTCACCATCTGTCTCACACTCACTCCTATGCAAATAAAAAGCAGTAACGTCTAATATGGTGGGTACTGCTCTGCTGACAGAAAATCAGTGTTTCTTCACCAGAACAGGCTTGCAATTGGCACCAACTAAAAGTGTTTAATTTTGTGCATGAGCATAATGAAAATTTGCAGACAGTTGATTGGTAAGAGAGAGGAACCAACGCTCTCTCCTTTATTACTGCCTCTCTCTCTCGCCTAATGAAATATGTTACACTGGCTTCTTCCTAATCGAAGCCAATTAGCTTTCCCGTGTCCTTGCTGGCTGTGCAGGAAGCACTGATAACTCCCTCAGAACATTTACACAGTTCCTTCAAGCTAGCATATCCTGCTCATGTGTAGAGCGGAGGCAGTCATTTAATCACTTTTCTCACCTAGACGCTACCTGCACCCATTGGCCAATGTGCCACACAAGTAAATATTTCTGCCATATAAAGTAGAGCATTCTTGCAATGTTTTTGGTTCTGCAGCCTCAATGGACTGATTTCATACTGATGCATTGAACTACTGTGTTGAACAAGACTGTTACTTCTCAGCATATATTTAATGTTTATTTCTCTGAAAAGCTGCAGAGTTGGTATGATACATAGTTTCTCTACCAGCTTGTATACTGTTGCAAAGCATGATTTATCATCAATAGGTTCTTGTGAATGTTTCTTGAGCAATCTAATTTGGGTTGTGAGCATTTGCGTTGCATTTAAGCATCTTTCAGCCCTTTGTTTTGATTTTACAGCCCATGTCTTTTTCGTTTTAATTCAGTCTCATCCCTCACATTTGTATCTTTTCTAGATGCATCAGACAGCAGTTTACTTCTAAAAAGCCTAATAAACCCATTACACCAGCAGATAGATACATGTAGTGACTAGTAAACATAGTGGGGCATTTACCAGATTAAACCAGACTTATAGGACTTAAATTGTTCAGGTGGACGCAAACACACTTCCAAATGAATGTTAATGTTGCTCTGTGTCTGCTGGACGTGTAAATACTGTTTGCTAACAAGTATGAACTGTGATCACAGCTTTTTTTGCTGTGGCAAAAAGTATTAGCTAATGCGGTTTAGAATCATAAACCAAACTATGGCACTAAATACCGTTTTCATACCATATTCATAATTACTGAAAAATCAAAGTGATATTACATAATGAGATTTAATCATATTAAATATGTAATAAATGAGCTATTGAATACAGTATATGGACTGTATTTCTTACAGTAGCAAACAAAACAATTTGTTTGACAGTGCTGCAGCAGTGGTGTGAGAGTGGTGGTTTCACTCTGGCTCTGATGGAATCTCCTAGCTGTGCTGGATGTGGTGCTCCTGATGTGGGTGTGTAATGAATATTCAGCCTAAACCATTCAGCTTTGACTACCAGACAAATCCCCTTATCTGGAGATTCTCTAGAAAGACTTGTTAATGTTTGTTGGGTAGCAGGACATATGTTACTATATGATATGAATGAGACTTGGTTCACACATTCATGCCCCCACGTTCAGGATGAACTGTAACAATTTAATGATAATCCAACTTTTTATCTTGCTCCACTGTCAGCTCAATATTTAAATACTCTATACTACTATATACTAGTATATGAATAAATTACTGACATTCCCATCAGCCTCGACTGTATTTTGTGTTTAGTGCTAATTAGCAAATGCTAGCATTCTAACACACTAAACAAAGATGGTGAACATGGTAAACATTTACCAGCTAAACATCATCATGTTAGTATTGTCATATCATGTTAGTATGCTGACGCTAGCATGCTGTGCCTAAGTACAGTCTCACAGAGCTGCTGGCGTGGCTGCAGACATGTTAATGATTTGCTGATAGTGTTTCCAGTCGGCATTCTTCTTACTTTGAACTGAATTAAAAATACTTCTTATGTAAGATGTATTTTTCACCTGTGTCCTTTACATTTTTTTGTTGTAAAAAATATCCTCTTTACATATAATCTAAATGGAATCATCATGCATCTCCTGCCCTTTAAATACTGTATATTGGACATATACTCCTTGCTGACAGAATTGGTACAAAATACAGCATTGAAGATGCAAAATACTTAATTTCTTTGTCTGGAGGTTGATGGATCTTTGTGTTGAACAAAAAAATTGCAGATTACATTGTCAAACTGTGT